ATGTTGGTGGGAAATATGCCTTTGTGACATTTATCTTGTTTGTTTCCGAGCATTGGGTTGGTTGATAGAAAAAGCCGATCTTTTCGTGTCTTTGATGTGAGCTTTCTTTATTCATGGACCAAATGTAGTGACTAGATAATTGATATTTCATTACATTTAGGTGGTCGAAATTGTGGTATGGTGTTACCTTCTTGGTTCGGGTCCATACATTTTTTGCACCATTCAGCCCTTCTTTTTGTTAGGTATCTATGTCTTGTTTAGTAGCTGTTTAGGCACATCACCCCATTGAAGTTGTATTTTGTGAGGCTATTTTCTTTGTAAATTTATTTATGGATGTTATTAACTTGTTGTCTTTGATTCTTATTAGACTTTTCTGCGAAAATTTACTTGTAAAAATAATGTAAATGTATGGGCTGATTTAGTGCCAAAATATAACCCTTGTCTTTGCTTGACAGTATTAACCTAGAATCATCTGACTCTCTTCACATTGTCTTGTCCTCTGAGTGGGGTTTTCATTATTTACTCCCCTCTCAAATCCTCGATTTCAATCTGCTATCAGTAGGTGTACATGTCTTGTTCATAAATATTAGTTATTCTAATCTTGTCTTGGAACCTAAGAAACTCGGCCTTACCTGCTTTGGTTATCTTTTAATATCTATTTATTTATTTATTTACTGTTTGGAGGGTTTTTCAAGGATCTTGACTGCTGATTATTAGTTATGATAGAATCTCTGTTATACTTTGAATTTCGGACTTTTTGTAGTACATTATAATCTGATTGCTTCTTGTAGGATGGAAATGAGGTGTTCTTTAGGATCAAGAGAAGCACTCAACTGAAGAAGCTTATGAATGCTTACTGTGACCGTCAATCAGTGGATTTCAACTCCATTGCTTTTCTGTTTGATGGCCGGCGCCTCCGAGGGGAACAGACTCCAGACGAGGTTTTCGTTTGCCCATTCTCTTACGAGCACTTACTTTAGTTACCTATTTTTATCTTTATTCGAAATTAAAAATGACTAATACTGAATGTTGTGCTCGACAGCTGGAAATGGAGGATGGTGACGAGATAGATGCAATGCTCCATCAGACTGGAGGTTTCACTGATTAATGAGAATGGAAGCATGTTGCGGATGGTGCAGCGTTTTATGTATTATATTTTTGATCGTTTGCGACTTCTTTAACGCTCGTGTTTTCTTGATACTAGATTGAGTTTTTAGGCTTAAGTAACAAATGTGATGCAAATGCACATCGGTGAAGATTATTTAATCTAGTCATTTCTTGTACTCGGGTATTTGATTTGGTATGTTCGGGTTATTGTCTTCGGATTTCAAGTATTGGCTGAAGCCTGAATGTTGTTTTTCATGGCACAGTCACTCCTGAGTTTGGAATTATATCTTGGGCTTGTGTTCAATGGATGTGGATTCTTATTATGAAGAATATGGAGATTTTGAAGCTGTTGCTTAAGTTGAATGAGCAAGTGTGATGATCAAGCAGTATTTGTACATGAAGACTAAAGAATATAGAAGTGTACTACTTTATGAATTACATCACCCAAGGTTTTGCTTGCAGTACCCAAATTTAGAATATCCCTCCAGGTCTGGGTTATCGAATGAATAATTAAATGCATAATTATATTTTTTTTCGGTACAAGAAAAGGAGGCAAACGCCTAACTATGACTTTACTAACACATTACGCGAATACGACACTCCTATTACATCATGAGCTAACCAAACATTTGCTCCCGAAGGAGGCTTGTCCAAACGGTGAAAACCACAAGGCCCCTTGGCCGCGAGCGAGGCCAAAAAATCAGAAAGTTCGATTCTCTATAGCCATGCTTTATGACCACCTGCCACTGTCGACTCAAAAGATCCTTAACCCCCCCTTAAGACTGTTTAGTATAAAAATGATGGGCAAAGGATAACCGAGTTACCCGACTCGGGTCGATCTCGAAGGAA